ATAATAATTACTGTAAAATATCAATATTACGGTATATTATTGAATAAAAGCAATTACAAATTTAGCGTTTTTTTTTTTTTTGGTAATTTTAGCTACCTACCTATTTCAAACTAGAATTTACAAAAAGTGGAAATCAGTACTTAACTCGTTCGCTACCAATCGTCACATATATGTGTCACCGCGTTTCTTTACCACAGCTCGGCGACACATATATGTGACAGATATTTTTGTATAATTTACAAAAGCATGTTTGAACATGTTGAGTATTGAACTAAATTGTTAAGTTAGCCCAGCGTCACATATTTGGGTCAGTTTAAAAGAATACTTATTTTACTTTTTTAGACTGTTATATATACATACGTAAAATCTATTTCAATTCATTTAATATAACCACCAAAAAAATGTTGGGCTATTGTGGACGTTTTTCCCAGAAGACCCTGGTAGCGAACGAGTTAAATATTAAACTCTGCGTTTAATAGAAGCATGTAATATTACATCTCTACTAGTGGGCAGCTTATGCGTACAGTGAAAAAAATTTAAGAATTCTAAAACAGCTGTTCGTTTTTGTGATTATTTCACGAATTATAAGAATGACAGCAAATTTTTCGCAATGGATTATCTACTCGAAACAAACTATAAAATGAATAATTTTTGAATTTTGAGAAACAGTGATACATTGCAAATTTTCATCATTTATACTGTTGCAATAATTTTCGAAACAGGCCATATTAAAGGTGGAAACCTAAAATTTACTTGCATTTATTTGAATTATTCAAGTTTTGGTTACCTGCTTAGGTAGCACAAAAATTCAATCTCTTATTCTGCAATCGCAATTCTGCAGAAAGGTTATCTAATTTTTGTAAAAATCGAAATTTCTGTGGGAACTGTTAGAAATCTTCAGTTAAATTATTCAGTTTTATTCTGAATCAATTAGTTTTATTTAATAAGATTTGAGATCTGTGTAAAAATTACAGAATGTCGACGATATTAGTTTGTGTTACATTATTTAGCTTAAAATAAAGTAAATATTAGTCTTCTCAATATAAATAATATAAAAACAGAACTTAAATTAGGCATACATACATATATACACTATTTATTATAAAGTAGAGTATCGCTTTTCATTTTCGATTTATTAGTTGTTGAAGCATAAAAGTCTATTTTGATTTTGAGGCTTATTAAATAAATATGTACATTATTTTTATGGTCTACAAAATATTTATTATTTTTTTACATAAAAAAAACCTTCAACAAGATTAACCAAAATATATTTTGACATTTGGTATCTTAATAAGTGGAATACAAGGCATATAAGTAAATTTATTTATGTATAATATCGCTTTCTCATTGTTAAGCTCAATCTTAATTTAATACACTCGATTAATATTATGAAAACCACTTGATATACCGCAATTATTTTTCAATTAATCTCGCGGTGGTTATTATATGGTCAGTTTATTTTAAAGTTTTATTAAGGTATTTAGTTCATCTATATTAGGATAGATAGGCTGATAGAATCGTCAATTTTTTTTCTGTATGTATGTACATTGGTGTAATATCAAAAAACCCATAGTGTTTAAATATTCGTAAGTTGACTTTGGTTATCGAATATGGCAAATTAACTTTTTATCGCAATTTTGCTTTATAATTAGTTTACAAATATAAAAATAATATTGACAATTTTTTTCTTACAAATTAAATCAAAAGTAATAAGCAGTAGAAATTTGGATATCATACAATAAGATCAAAAATTAATTTTTAAAAAAAGAGAAAATGACAGACAATCCCACTTTGGAATTAATTTATAACAAGTTGTTATACAAAAGTAAGGGAAAAAAATATTAAGTATTAGAAATGGCCATAATATGCCAGTTTAATTTGATTTCAAACACTTTAAAAGTCATTAAATTATTCATTACTGCTATAAGTTTTCGATTTATTGGAAAATTTATGAGCCAATAATTAATTTTTTTGTTTTAAATTTATTTCTATTGAAGATTCTTTTTCAAGAGCAATTCATTATTAAATCAAATTGTAAACAATTTGAGTAGCCTTTTTAAAGCAAGTAAGGTGCGTGATATATGTACAAAACCAGGTGAATTAATCATAAACTCTCTAAAAACTTATATAATTATAAAATCGACCAATCAAAGAATAAATCATAATGACCTCATCATTATTATTATGCTCTGATAAATATAAAAACGTTATGCCAGAATAGTTAAGTTGAACTCAATATGTCAACTAATTCTTATGATAGTACAACATAAAAATATAAACGTATAAAGTATTCTATTAGTTTATTATAATTAAATTTTAAATTTATTAACGTAAAATATTAACTTACTTGAAATATGTACATAATAATGATATTTTTGTAAAAAAAAGTATATATTTGAAAACATGCCGCAAGATATTAAAGTAAAATCATTACAATATACATAGTATATACAAATATTTAATGAATTTATATAAACAGTATTCTAAATTATAAAATTTTGTGTAAAATAATGTAATTTTTTTAATTTAAGGTTAAAAATTTTTAGGTATTAGAGTTAAAGATTTCAGCCAAAATGACATGAAGATGAAAGCAATTATTTTATTTTAATTGTTATTTGATTGCCAATATAATTAAAATCGATTCCCAAGCATTTGTGCTACTTTTCTGTAAGTGTTGACATTTAATTTCATAGTTTATCATTAATTTAAAATTTTATTTGCTGACATATTTTAAGTAATCAATAAAAGGACCGAGTTTAATTATATTTTTAGTCTTGTGATCAGTGAATTATTTTCCATCATAAAATTTCAATGTAGATAGTAGCACTATTTGTTTATATAACATTATAAATGCACTTCTAGGAAAATTTGTTTAGAGTGGTTGTGATTGTAGAAAAGAGTTAAAAGAACGTTTTTTTCAATTTAAAAGTGTGCTTTTTTATTTAAGTTGAACAATTATTTTGAATAATTTATTTTATAAACAACAAAACTTATAATAAAGAATACTAATAAATGTTAAATAAAAGCATTTTTTATATATAAACGGTAAGAGTAAAATAAAAAAAAAAACAATTTTTTTTTCCTTCATTTAAACATTGACCACATATCACAGAGTTGTTTTTAATTAACTATTTCGATTTCCTGATACGAATTTCGAGTATATTTTGTGTGATCAATTATTTCAGTATTAATAAGGATTAATAATTATTAATTTATATGTATGTGAATTTATTATGCTAGAAAAACGAAAAGCCATTGAAACAAGTATTTCATTTAATAATAATTGACATTTACACTGGCAGAGCAAGAAAAACATATAAATTGAAATTAAATATCAGGTACTTACCATAAAAGTTTAATTATGCATGCGAATGCTAATTTAAATTTAAGCTATAAAATTATAATATTCATCGTTGACATAAAAAATTTTTAAGATTGCAAATTTCTAATTTATTACCTATACTTACACAAGATACATATAAGATAAGTTTGTTACCTATACTTACAAATCTGATTTAGAATTTAAAAAGTTCCCCAAAAAATTTGTTAGTAGGATTTTTAATAGAATTTCTTGTTCTATTTTACGTTTCAAATTTAAATGATTTTAACAAATTGTTGTAATCACACATAAATCTTAAACTAATTGCATTGAGCTGTATCTATCAAATTTGTTCTAAGTTTTTGTAAAATTTTTGATAAAAAGGTTTAATATGAACAAAATTTAGTGATCATTTAATGTAATTTTTTCCTCGAATTTCAATTTTTTAAATACACAAGCAACAAAATTTTTTTGATACATAAGTTCTAACTTAGGTTAATACTCTTCTATAACAGTTGACAACATAAACAGCTAATTTAACTTTCTCTTTTATTATTATAGAAGTTTAATATAACACCCAATTAAATAAAATTGAAAAAATTCTTGTGTATAATGAAATATGAAAATAATGTAATTAAATTTATTTTAAAATACTTATAAATTTTATTGTTTAACATAATATTATTATAAGAACGAATAAATTTAATCGTAGATTATTGTTATTTTTTTAAACTAACACAAATAAACAATTTTGTCTACTGTTAATCATTTAATTTAATTTTTTTGCTTTCATATATGTACATAATGTTCTTGAATTAAAAAATTGGATTACAAGTGATTATTGCGATTATAAATTTTCTCTTATATTTAGGGCAATCCAGTTTTTTACATTACAATTCAAGTTTGTATAAATATATAATGTTCTCAAGAAATTATTTTGCATTGCCTGCAATGGCATTTTATTTCTACTGTTGCATTACGAAACAAATTAAAAAGTTATGTTATTTTGTTTTTTTGAAAAACTGCTTTCGATTTCTTTAAGGATATAAATGCACAATACACATAAAATTTTAAAGATGCTCTTTTAGAACTCTATAACTAAATTTATTTATTTGTGCAATGTACAATCAACTTTGAACATGTGAAAATCTAAAAACGTTAATTTTATAAACTCAATGATAAATCAATTATTATTTATTCAATATTAATATATGTAGATTGGCCAAAAATTGCTGAGACAGATATTGTACCTACATATTTAAAAAATTCACAAAATAAATATCCCATAATAAAAGATTACCCATATATATAGCAAAATAAAATTTAAAATTCTAATAGCGTTAGCATATTTAAACGCATGATTATTATCTCAATTATTAAAATATTTTATATGCATAAAATTGCATATAAATTGGACCAAGACTATGTGACGGCACAATGTTCGTGTTATATTATCTCTTGTTTTTGAACGCGGAAAACTGCACTCATTACATTAATATTTCATTTTCCGTATTTAAACTTGAATATAGCAGTAAACAAAATTGTAGCTTTACAATTTTAGATTAAGAATTACAAGTTGAAAATTTCTGCAATTTTTAAAAAATTTTGTTTTTTTTCTTTGCGTTATTTTTATATTAGAGCAAAAATTTTTAATAACAGAACGCATTTGTTTTCTAAGAGAATGCTTGAAGGTTAATTTACGGACTTACATATAATTAATGAGTGCAATATCTGTTTTAGTGTTCAATTTTAAATTATAATTCATACTCTTATATATATCTATGTTTGTATGTAACTTTACAATTAATAACGGCAAGATACACAGCTATATTAACGGTTTTTTATTTATTTATTTTTTTATAGAAGAATTATAAAATATTTGTTATTGTGTAAATGTGAATAATATTAATTGCGATTATTACAGTTTGAGTTGTAGAAATAATTTTTAAGCAATTTTATTTTAGTTTATTCTTCAATTGTTTTTTTTTTAGGAATAAGAAGTTTTAGTTGGTTTTCATCATAAATGAATGTGTATCATTACGTTGGTCCAAAGAACTAGTAAATTCGAAAGGAAGAATACCAAGTGAAATCTGAAAAACTCAAAAATAATTACATATTTCTGATTTTTATTAGTTTTATGTTTGAATCGAAGATAAAATCTACAGGTTCTACTGTAATTTCGTTATAATAATCGCATTACAGGTTACGATGTTAAGGAGGTAGATTTCATGAAGGTAGAGATGATTTTACGGACTGTGGAGGACTGCAACGATTCCGATATTCTTCGGAAAAAGGTAAAAACTGATTATTTTTTCAAAGTTCCTTAATATTGGTTGTGTGTGTGTTGAAGTCATTCGTTATTGAAAATTATCCTTCCCTAAATCATTTTGTCAACTGGCTTTACGGATTCAGTTTTTTTTCGACTGGTGATTTAACTAAAGTGATAGCCAAAAAAAAGAAAAATATTAACTTAAGGAACAGAAAATTTTCGCGAATATATTTCTGGTTTTTTTTTTTTTCTAGTGTAATTATAGGGGATATCTTTATATAATATCTTTTATTTTGACAATAAATAAATTACAACCATTTATAATTTTAACAAATATTTAGAATTTAATGTGCAACAAAATGATTTGTTAAGATAATTTATAATAAAGTTGTCAGAGACTTTCAATTACAACTTATTTATAGCATAAAAATGTTATGCAGGCATTTAAGTTAATTTTTGTATTGCATATTCTCGTATGTATTAATATGAATTCAAATTATTACTGGGCGTAAAACATTAGATTTGTTTTTTTTTGTTGTTAGCTTTAGAATTTTTTTATAATTAGAAATTGGAGTGAAACTTTGGGTTTTGTTGAAATTGAGTCCTAAGCTTACACCAGCATAGGACAATTTGACATAATTTTACTTAAGGTGCATAATTAGTTATTAATAATACTTATTGAAATCTTCGGTTTTAAAAAGAGTAAGATTTTCTTCAACTAATTTGATACAATTCAAAGGATATCTGTCGGCGGCGTTCTTAATAAAGAATAATAAAATCTTAATAATAAAAGAGTGACTTCACTTAATGTTTGTTGAGTATCCACGTCCTATTAGACTTTCAACTAAAAATGTTTTTTTCAAAATTGTAGTTATATTAAAAAAATGTCAATGTTGCGTACAATTACAAGAAATGGCTCTCTCGCGTCTTCGCCAAGTGGACTTTACAGCAAACATTTACTCCGCTATAGTGTAATGCTTCATGCTTAGCTTTTAATTTAACGCATGAGTCTAATCAAGAGTATGTTTTCCAATACACTTTCCTGGCATTTGTACTTTGATAAATAGTAGATTAAAAAGTTTAATTAAAATTAATCACAATGGAAAATTCACAATTACTACTATTAATTTTTTAGTTTTTCCTCTTTTATTTTTATTTTGGAATTTCTAATTAAAAATTTTTGTACTTCAAACCAGAATTGAACATTTTTTTACAATAATTAATAACAAGTTAAAAATTAAATATCTTTTCATCTGATATTAAATATTTTTTTCATAATATCATTTTTTTTAAGTTTAAATTTCTTTTCAACAGTTTTCAATCATTCTTTAGTATTTTTTAACGATTTTTGTATATTTTTTCCCCCTACAATTTTTTTTGTTAATAATTATATACAGGCAACCTTTAATTTATACAAGCCAACAAGTTATAGAAACACTGATTCCTTCCGATAAAAATTTTCATTTGCAATATTTAATTACTTTATTTAATAAATGCGTTTTTTCGCTTATTTTTCTTGTATGAGTTTTGGTTTTTAAATGAAAATTTAAGTATATTATTATTTTTTTTATAAAATAATAATTATAATATAAATAAATTCGTGTTATCATCAATCAGTATATACTAACGTATATTGGGTGTTGTAACACTATTAAAAGATTTAAAATTTTAGATTGTCAACAGGAAAAAAGAATCATATTTAAACAAATCTAATGTTGAGTTTTATAAATGATTATAAATAATATAGTTATAATTTTTTACATACATATATATTTGCACATACATATATCCACACATATGAACCTATAATTTGAAATTCAAAACCTTCGTCTAAAGTCTATGAGCATTGATTAATTTAGAGCGAATTTAATAATAAATCAAAGTGATTATATTTAAAATTGAATTTCTAAAAAAGAAAACAAAAAACAAAACTTGAAAGAAACTGTCAAAAATAGTAAAGATATCAAATTGTATTTTAAAAAATTTTAATGGTGCTCGTTGAATAAAATTCGAATAAACTCAAATGCGTACGTTTCGAATATTGACGTTCGTATTCACATACATATGTTATTCATGTGAACGTATGACGACAAATATTACAATGCTGTTGAAATATATGACGCCAATTTCTGCAGGGCGATAACAAATTATTAATCCAACATTTTTTCTTAGTTAACTTTGGAGTCAACCCGGGACTGTAGTATCGTTTCTCTTTCAACTAATAGAAAAATATGTATATCAATTAAATATTACATTTAATCTGATTTACACTGCAGCATTTGATTATTCGCCTTAAAAACCTATGGTTTCGTTATTCTTAACTTGAATAAACTTGGACGAAACAATTTTTTGTTCAGTTTTTGTACTAATAAGCACTGATTTATTTTATAAATTGTACGGGAAATTTTTCGAAATTATTAACTTCGATAAAAATATCAAAAGCATTTTAGCTATGCTATTTAAATATAAGTAGCTTTTCAAAATATTTTAAAAATATTTCAAAATCAACTAACTGAAATTTTATTTTTCTAGTTGCAAATTTTAAAATTCATTAATTTCAATAAATATATTATGAAAATTATCTATTTTATTAAATTTTTATATAAACTGCCAAATGACTTTCAAAATATGTAAATATCAATTTTTCTTCTAAAATGTCATATCGACAAATTAATTTATAACACGCTTATGTGTTATTTAAAAGTAACATAATAATGCGGATATAATTATGTGAACTGGAAAAAAAATTGCAATTTATCGAATTTCAACGAAACTGTACATATGATTAATTTATCAACAACTTACTATAGTATATGCGGATTAAGTGTGTTAAAACTGACAGTTTTATGGAATACAAACATATGCGTGAGAATTTAAATTGGAAAATTATAATAGCAAATTACTTTTCAACACCTCTTTACGTTATTTTAAAATATGTATGTAATTTTTAATTTGGAAAACATTTGATCATATTTTAAAGAGTTATTAGGATATCACTTTCTGTAAATTCATAGATCATAGACAAGCATTTCTGTAAATTCATAGATCAAATAGGATAGATAATTTAATCCTGTTTTTAAATCAATTTTCTAAGAAAAAATTTAAAGAACTTTGATTTTTTGCAAAACGTATGGCGTTAAAGATAGTGTTTAATATATTGTAATATATGGTAATAATGTATATAGATTGTAATTAATAGTCCACATCTCCAATAAAATCACATACAAATTTTCCAAGGTCTCTCGCTTACGAATTGTCTTTCGTTCTAATTATAAAAACTGAACTAAAGCCACGAACGGCAACGGCGGACGGTTTCCTTTCTTAAATCAGAACAACAGCGGTACGGCAAAATCAACTGTTTTGTATTTAAAAAAAACACAAAAAAATTATAATATTTTGAACAAGTACAAACTTATATAAAACTCGAATAAATTACTCGTATACACATTTTACAAAGCATCATAAATAAATTTTTACATGACAGTCTACTAATTTACTTTTGCATTTTTTAATTATACTAAACAAATTCCGCTCTTATAAGTATAGCCTTTTAAAACTTGCTGCATCAGAGCGTTAGTGTATCTTTAATAAATTTCAGAAACTAAACTTGATATTTTTAAAAATACTTAATAGCTTGTCATGTATACCATATTAAGAACCAAGTATGTCCAATAATTAAAAATTCTTTGTATGTATATTTTTTGATTCTTATCAAATAATTCTAAAACAATAATGTTTTTTTTTTTTAAATATATAAATAGCATATCTAGAATTTCATCTTATTACATCTTTTAATTAAATTTTTTATTTTATGTAGTAAAATAATAATATATAGTAATTAAATTTAATAATAATAAATCTTAAAAAAGTTCTCGAGGTTGAATTTCCTTTTTATTTTTTTACAATAATATTATTCTTCTTTTTTTGAATTTCGATTAATTAAAAATTTTCCCATTATTTCTTTTATGTATGCAAGTGCATTTAAGTACATAAACATATAAATTAAAAATACGCCTCTGGACATAGTATCAGTTTGCATCATTAATTTATTCTATTAGCTAAAATATTAAATAAATTACTGACAATACATTTTAAAATCACAATTAATATTCTTAAAGAATTAAATAAGAAAAATCGCAAAAACATCCTGGATAATTAATATATGGCAACAAAAATGAAGTTTTTTTTTCTTTCTTTAATTTTCATTTAAATTATTATTATTATTTTACAATAAATATATTCTTTATATTACACTATTTTTAATTTCAAATGAGATTCTTATTATTTTAATAATGTTTGTATTTATTTTTTTCCTATATATAATTTATGTTAATTATTCTTGTTTTAATTTTATTTAAAATTATTAACTAACCAACAATGACCTAAATTAAATGAATGAAGTTTGTACAATATTTTATTCAAGTAAGCAATTAATTTTCAAGAACATCAAAGTTTTTTTTCTTTTAAATTATCTATACAATTATTTATAATAAACTATAAATCTTTTAATTATTTACTATGTTTTGATCTAATTTGCAACATTATAACATCTTGTAAACGCTTGATGAATAATTAAAAGAAAACATCTTTTAAATATTTCTTGTCCCCTCTTATTGTACATTTGTCTTGTTTTGTACAATGAAAAATTGAATATTGGACGCCAGTAATAGAGAGAAAATGAATAGAATGGCTTAAACACCTTGCATTCTTGCAGAGAACAATATGCTGTTATAGAAATATGTATACTGTTTAGTATTTGCGATAATTAACTGACATCACTGTTTTGTCAAATAATAGTTTTGTTTTTTTCTTTTTTTTCAAATTAAGTAATATTTGAAAAAATTGATGTTCAAAATATGAAAATGAGGAAAACAAAAAAATGTGGCAACAATGTGACCGAAATAAAAAATTTTTGTGAATCACGATTCAGTTTACTTCTGTAGTCATGAAGTTTAGAAGTTACATTTCAGATTTAGTAAGAACTGGTTTCATTATGGTGTGGGAATGTATGAAATGTAAATAGTC